CTGTCCTTATCAAATGTGCGGAAAGTGAGGGTAGGCCTGAAGGGGCCACATACGCTGGGGTAATGAGGCTTGCGAGGAGTAAAATCTCCCTTGACGACCTCAGTATTGTGAATACCCGGATCAGGAAGGCTCAAGCGGGGGGCCTTCTGATTGAAATTCCGGGAGGGGAAGAGGCCGGTGCCAAGGCGGAGGCTTTGGTCGATAGATTAAAAGGGGTCATCGCGGACAGTGAATATAAAGACGGGGTTCAAGTTGTGCGACCAATGCGCAGGGCCGAGGTTAGACTGGTGGACATAGATCAGTCGGTTACGGCGGAAGAGGTGGCCGAGGCGGTGGCCAGTTGTGGACAGGCGCATGTGGTGGACATCAGGGTGGGCCCCCTTAGACCCGGGAGGGGTGGCCTAAATGCGGTTTGGGTCCAATGCCCCCTGATGTGTGCTAATAAATTGTTAGGCGAGGGGCGGCTCAGGGTCGGATGGACGATGGCTGGGGTGGTGCCCCTGGTAAAGCGGAGGCTACAATGCTTCCGCTGCTTTGCCGTGGGGCACACCCGTGCCAATTGTCAAAGCCATATAGACCGAACATTGTGGTGTTTCCAGTGCGGTGGGGACGATGGACACAAGGCCGCTGAGTGCCGGAGACCCCCGAAGTGCCCGGTGTGCTCGGGGAGAGGACTCCCTTCGGGGCACCGAGCGGGTTCCAGTGAATGCGTACCGTTTAACGGAATAGGACGGAGGGACAAGGAAACGGGAGTGAGTGTGACCACCGAAAAGGACTGCGATAGTGGAGCTGATCGGGGAACTCCGACCCCCCTTAACGAAGGGGCACGCGACGAGGAGGCGATGGACACTTGCGATGGCCAGACTGGCGCAAATTAATGTGAATCGGTCGAGGCCATCGCAAGAAATGGTCGCTAGAGTGTGCAGCGAGCTCGGTTTGGGGCTTGTTGCCATCTCCGAACCCAATAGGGTTCCGGAGGACGGACGATGGCTGTCTTCAACGGACAACCCGCCATCAGCTGCCATTACTTGGCAGTGGTCGCAGGCTAGGCTGCCCTGCTTGCCCCTCTGGAGAGGAAAGAGGTTTGCGGCGGTGGAGTGGGGGAATACGGTGGTAGTTTTCTGCTACTTCCCCCCTAGCCTTGACGATGAAGATTTCCTCAGGGACCTCGGGGAGTTGGAGGGAAAGCTGACGGGTGCGTTGGGTCGTCCAATAGTTATAGCGGGCGATTTCAATGCCCGTGCACTGGCGTGGGATAGCGGCGGCCGAAATAGAAGGGGGGATCTTCTTCTGGGCTGGCTAGCCGCCATGGACCTGGTGGTCATCAACGAGGGTACGGAGCCGACCTGCGTGCATCCTCGTGGGGTCTCGAGGGTCGATTTGACGCTGGCATCGCCCTCTGCTGTCGGGAGGATATCGGAGTGGAGGGTAGCATCAGAGGTGGAATCCTTATCGGACCACCTCTATGTGACCATGACGCTGGGGACCTCCATCCTGGGCCCGGAGACGGGGAGAGTCGCCCTTCGGACGTTCCCGAGATGGGTGGCCAGTAAGGTGGACTACGACTTGAGGGAGGCGGCAGCAATTTTCTCGGCATGGAGCGAGAGCCCCGGAGATGCTGTTGGAAGAGCTCGGAACTTGGATCGAGTAATGCGGGACATTTCCGAGGTCTGCATGCCGAGGAAGGGACTCCCGAGAAGGCCGCATGCATATTGATGATTTGAGGGAGGCGGCAGCAATTTTCTCGGCATGGAGCGAGAGCCCTGGAGATGCTGTTGGAAGAGCTCGGAACTTGGATCGAGTAATGCGGGACATTTCCGAGGTCTGCATGCCGAGGAAGGGACTCCCGAGAAGGCCGCATGCATATTGGTGGAGCGAGGAGATAGGAGAGCTTCGTCGTTCCTGCAACGCATGTAGAAGAAAGGTGACGCGAGCGCGGACGCGGGTAAACGTGCCTCCTGAGGAGCTTAGGGTCCTTTGGGGTGATTTAAGGGACAAGCGTAGGGAGTTGAGGCGCGCGATCACTAGGTCCAAGGCCAGGCTTTGGAAAGAGCTAGTGGACGATTTAGAGAGAGACCCGTGGGGCACACCCTACCGAGTCGTACTCCGGAAGCTGCGCTCCGGGGATGCGGCCGCTTTGGAGGTGCTTCCCCCTGAGACTGTGGAAGAAATTGTCGCTACACTCTTCCCTGCGGATTTGTCCCCGCAGGGGGAGGAGGTGGCCGCGGAATGGAGCGGCGACCTGGGGGTAACGCCGGTGGAGGTCCTGGAGGCTTGCTCCAGGGTCAAAACCGGAAAAGCCCCCGGGCCAGACGGTATCATGGGGGGTACAATTAAGAGTACGATGGAATATCTGGCTCCACTGTGGGCCAGATGTTTCACGGAATGTCTCAGGGGGGGGCACTTCCCGAGGCAGTGGAAGGAGGCCAGGCTCGTTCTGATCAAAAAGCCTGGTAAACCGGACGGGGCCCCGTCATCATATAGGCCCATTTGTTTATTAAGTGAGGCCGGCAAGTTGCTCGAGAGGGTCGTTGTGGGTAGGCTGCACGCTCATCTCGAGGAGGGGACGCGTATTGCCGATGAGCAATACGGCTTCCGCAGACACCGCTCCACGGTCGATGCTGTGTGGAGGCTGGGTGAACGCGTGATGGAGGGCACGCGGGAGGGGGGGGCGGTGGTCGCGGTGTCACTTGACATCGCGAATGCTTTCAACTCCCTCCCGTGGCCCGTTATAAGGAGAGCGCTTGAGAGGAAGGATGTCCCGGGCTACCTTCGGGGCATCCTCCATAGCTACCTGTCAGAGAGGGGCTTGGTGTACGTCGACCGTGGAGAACGGGTGGTTCGGGGACCGGTGACGTGCGGGGTTCCACAGGGGTCGGTTCTTGGACCTACCCTGTGGAACGTTGGATATGATGAGGTCTTGAGACTTTATATGCCGATCGGGTGTAGAGTCCTATGTTACGCGGACGACACCCTGGTGACTGCGGAGGCTGGTAGTTTCGAGGAGGCAAGGGTCAGGGCCGAAATCGGCATGGCATCGGTAGTAAGAGCTATCGAGCGGTTAGGACTCAGAGTGGCTATAGGCAAAACCGAAGCCATCGCGTTCATGGCGGATGATATTCCGAGGGGGGCCTCGATCCACTTAGGTGGAAGAGTGGTCCCGATTGGCTCCACCGTGAAGTACCTGGGCTTAACCCTGGACTCGCGGTGGACCTTTCGGGACCACTTCAGGACGCTCATGCCGAAAGCATGGGGAATTGCGTCGTCCTTGGCCAGGATAATGGCCAATATCGGGGGGCCTGGAGAGCGGAGGAGACGGACGTACGCGGCCGTGGTGATGTCCGTCGTTCTCTACGGAGCACCCATATGGGCGCAAATAGCGGCGGGGGATAGCGTGATCTGTGCTGCGGTCCGGAAACTGCAACGGCAGCTTGCGCTTCGTATAGTGAGGGGTTATCGCACCGTCTCGTACAACGCGGCGGCGATTTTGTCAGGGCTAGTCCCTTTCGACTTAGCGGCGAGCAGGATGAGGAGGACATATCTCCGCAGACGTGAGATGCTCGCCCGGGACGGGGCGATCACCCCTCACGTAGGAGCGATGATCCAGGAGATCGAGCGGCGTCGTTCGATGGATCATTGGCAGAGGCGGCTCGATGGACTGCCGCCGGGTGCGTCGGGTGCGGTCGTACGAGCAGCGGTTGAGGGGGACTTGGAGGTCTGGGTGGGGAGGACGCATGGTGCCCTCACATACCGGATTACCCAAATTCTGACTGGACATGGGGTGTTTGAGGCCTATCTCTACGGGATAGGCCGAAGGAACACCCCAATATGTCTCTTTTGCAGGGCGACCAGCGACACGGCGGCGCATACCCTTTTGTTTTGCCCATCTTGGGCGGAGCAGAGGGGTGCGCTGCTGGATGTCGTGGGTTTGGATAGGTCGCTGCGGGCGGTGGTGAGGGCCATCATGCGCTCTCCCGAAGCGTGGGCCGCGTTCGCAACGTTTTGCGAAGCGGTGATGCGAAGCAAGGAGGAAGACGAGCGCGCTCGAGAGCGGGAACAGGCTGCGCAGGCCGCGCTTCCCGCGGGAGTACCGGTTCCTCCCATTGGATAGGGCTCTGACGACCGTGTGTGCGAGGAGCAAAGGAGTAGTTCGTACAATGTATGTATATAGAGACTGTATTAGGTTCCGATGAACTCTTATGTGTGAGGAACAGAAAGGCGTAAGGATGTAAAGACATAGGCGAATAGGCAGCGGTATGGTTACGTTCCGATGACCGTTCTGTGAGAGGAACGAGGAGGTGAGAAGATGTATATATGTATATGTGTATATGTATGGGCTAAGGACTGTGTATATATATAGTTATAGTTACGTAGAGTTAAGCTTAGTTAGCAGTAAGACGGATAACCCGCGTTGGAATGAGGTAGGGAGCTATGTTTCTCCAAAAGCTGGGGGGCAGCCCGAAGTAATGCTAAAATGCGGTTCCGGGCTGTCCCTCATTAGGCAAGGGCGGTGGTACGCTCTAGGGGGAGTTTTTAGTCGGTAGGCGGCCCTCTCGGTGCGTCCTCGGAGTACTTTGTACTCCGGGGATCACGAGAGGGTTGAATCCGGCACTCTCGACGGTACGGGCCGTCGGGGGTCTTCCCCTTACCGATGGGTGTCCCGAAAGGGTCCCCCTCGGCAAGGGGTATAAGAAGATTTTCTCCTCCTACGTAAAACAAAAAAAAAAAAAAAAGGGCACGTAAGGCCACAAAACCGTAGACACGGTGTCAATTTGATGAATAATTATATAACGGGTGACGGGAAAATACTAAAGTATTAAAATAAAATAGAGATAAAATGAACTAGAATCATTATTGAATAAACTGACCGTCAGAATCGTTAATTGGATCAATAGAGTTGAGCAAGATGTTAACGAATTCGAGATTATACCGGGTGACTGAGAAAAACTGTTATGAAGTAGTTAAGATTGGAATATTGAGTAAAGCCACCGTTAATATTATTAGGAGTACCGTTAGAATACGGACGAGTCATTATGAGTTATAGATTATACCGGGTGATAAGATAAAATTGTCAAGTAATAATTATTGTTGGCGGATCGCGAAAAGCGACCGTAGCGTTTCATTTGAACGGTGATAAAGGGTGTTGGTCAAATATGGGATCATCACGTATATCGGGTGACCATAAATTATTGTCATTACACAGATATATTGAGAATTGGAATAAATCGAACCGTAGGGTTGACAGTGACTATTAATAGAGATAATTGAGATTAGTAGAGCGAACAGAATATAACGGGTAGTCAATAATAAATTGTTATTACATACATTAAGCGAGCGGATCGTGAAAAGCGACCGTTATTATAATGAGGAACCGATAAGAAAGAGGAATGAGCGCATATTGAATGAATACGGATACCGGGTGACCGCGTAAAAATGTTATTGTAAGTAAAAGGTGACGGATTGGGAAAAGCCACCGTCATTGCTTGTATGAACACTGGATAAAACGGTAGTTAGAGTTTGGAAATGATCCATGTACCGAGTGTCGGTAAATATTGTCAAGTAGGAATGAAAGTAGACGGATTGGGAAAAGCCACCGTAGTTACCTTAGTAAACATTGAACTAAAGCCCATAGAGTCTTGAGTTGATCGAGATACTGAGTGTCGGTAATTAATAGTAATGATAAGCGAAAGTTGAGGGATCGGAATAACCGACCGTCATTGTGCTAGATAACACCGACAGAGTGTACCCTGTAAATTTCAGATCGATCCGATAACCGGAAGTAGGAAAATTACCGTTATCGTGCCGACAGAGTTACGTAGCGGGAGATCTACGGTTAGCATGTAATGTATATAATGTATATAAGATAGAGAGGAATGTAGCCGATAAGTAGAAAACCTGTAAATAAAGAATTCATTAGCAGTTAACGATACTTACCTGTGACTCCAGCGGGAGAAGACCAGCGGCTGCATGTCCATCGACGCATTGTACCTGAAAATAAAGAAAAGTGTTAAATAAAAACTAATATAATGTAATAATAATGCAGGAAATATAGTAAGCGGCGTAGTTAGTAAGAATTCGGCTAACGCTGCGAGCGCGTCGAGTGCGCATGTCGTATAGAGAGGGTAGAGCACCAGAGAAGGGAGCAAAGGTAATATAAGCGAGAGCGCGAGGGGAATTTAGGCTGTCCGTCGGGAAAATTTTATGGGATACGCCGCAGGAAATTAGGCTGTTCGCCGGGAGAATTATTAGGACTGAGATTTTGTCCGCCGTGAGAATTGAGATGTAATGTAAATGCTGTTCGCCGTGAGATTTGAATTAGGCTGTTCGCCGGGATATTTTAGTATGGGAGGCTGATGTTCGCCGAGATATTTTGACATAAGTTATTTGCCAGTATAAGTTACGTGAGTGAGAAGGGAAGTTACGGACGTAAGGGGAGTCGCGAGCGGGACCGTCGGAAGTCACGGGCGAACAAGCCGATGGTGTAATTAGCGACGGGGGGCCGGCTCCAAGCGTACCGATTATAATAAGGAAGATAAGCCATTACCGTTAGAAAGTGAATGATGAAGTAGTGAATGTGAATTAATAAAACGAGAATAAGAGAATTTGGGCGCAAGTGATGGATGTAAGATGCGGAACGAGAATAACATAAGAGCGACCGAGCGAAGCGTACCTGAACAGATGTAACAAGACAAAGAGTGCTACGACTAATAAATTGT